GCAGGGGGGTTGGACTAGATGACCCACAGAGGTCCCTTCCAACCCCTGCCATTCTGTGATTCTGTAAGATTCCAAGTGGAGACTCCAGCTTGCCAGATGGGCAAAGCTCAGCCCAGCTTCAGCGTGAGTGGTCTGTCATTGCCTTGCATTTCTCCTCGGTTGTTCCCTGCGTGGTGGTTTCACCTGGTGTTTCTGGAAGCAACTGTGAAAGCCAGTTTGTAAAGTCTCTTCTGCCGCGCAAGCCCTTGACCAAAGCAGGCGCAGCTGGCTCATGTCACCACGATGTTGCCAGTGGGAATTGGGCTGTGGTGTCTACGCCTTTCCTGGCACGCAAGATGCTCTCTTGGTGCCTGGCAGAAGTGATTTGTGGTCCCACAGATTCCTTCAGGAGCTCTCCCTGGCAGCTCCCGCCCCTGTTCATTACCTCCAAGCGCTCCATGAGATGCAGCAGCCCGTGGATGGCCCCTTTAGCTGGGATCCCACAAGACTGGAGACAGTCGTTGCGTTAGGTGGGATCAGGAGTTTGGGGAGTCCAAGGCTGCCCCGGAGCAGAGGTGTGGGCAGAGGCCCATGATGGTGAGGGACCCCAGGGAGTGCGGTACAGAGGGGTCTCTTGTGTGAGGCAGTCACGCGAGGAGGCTCAGCAGGCAGGAGGGAAGAGCAGGAGCTATGGCATAAGGGGCTGGAGCGTAGCCGCAGCCAGGGGCAAGTGTGGGATTGCCTCCTGGTAGGGTCCTGGCCAGCCCTCGCTCTTCTCCAGCCAAGTCTGGCTTGTTGGGCGCTTGCTCGCCAGGAAACAGACGGCTCTCGGTGGTGAGAAGCCGTGTGGGAACCGGGGAATTCTTCATCCACTCAACAGAAATTGTGGAAGTGTTTTGTGGTTGCCACCATGGGCTGGCTGAGCTGTGAAACCCAGCAGAGCCCCCCAGGAAGAGACAGCACAAAGCCAACGGACAGATCGCATCTCCGCGTCTAACTCTCCAGCTGACCCTCCAGCAGCAAGGTCTGGAGCCCGGGCAGCGGCCTCCAGGGACTCTCTTTTCTCCCTGTGTCTCAGCAATGGCCCCAGAAGCCCTCGTGGTTTGCCTTAGCACAGGCAAACGCAGCCCTGCTGCCTCCCTGGGGTCGAGGGACTGGCGGTGGCTGTTCAGACCCATGCTTGCCATGGGAGCTGTGACCTGTTCCACTGTCCCCACGCGTGCTCCGGGGAGCAAATGGTGCTTAAACAAGAGTCTGCGCAACGGGGACAGAGACACGGGCACAACACAGGAGGAAGCCATCGCTCCGTTTGGCTTTTGTCTCTTAACCAGAGTGGAAATGCTGATGGAAATGCTCATGCCCCCAGCTCTTTTGGGGAGTGAAAAAGGGATTTTTCTCCATGTTGTAAGTACACAGTTTGTGAGTGGAAGCAGTGTATTTTATCAGACTGCTTCTGACTTCCAGCTCTGCCACCTTTCTCTGTCCCGCAGTGCCTGACAGAGGAGAAGATCAGCCTGCTCCTCCAGCTGATCGGAGAGGAACTAGAGCACAAAGCAGAGGGAGAGAAACCGCCGATGAAGTTTGCCACGGAAATCCTGCAAGTGCACGTCCCTGCCTGCGTCCTGGCTCTGTGTGGCTGGACTTGCAGGTGGGTAGCGGCGTAGGACTGACGCTGAACTGGCTGCCGCGCTTTGTGGTTTCTGGGGAAAGCTGTCAGAGGCTGGAGGAATGTGGATGTCCCTCGTGTGAAATGTTCAGTATCCCCTATTTCATTATTTTATTATCTCCAGATGTTTAAACTGACGGACTTCCACAAACCCTGGCGCAAAGCTGCCTGATCTAAAAGAGATGTCTCCCTGAAACAGCAGAGAGTCTGAAACAACCGAGCTGTCGGTGGCCCCACTCGTTGCTGATTTAGATGTTGAAGCCAAGCCCTGAAATGTCATCCTCGGCAACGCTTTGGTTGCTTGTCAGGCCTGCGGGGAGGGGAGGGATGGTTCGTGACCTGAAGGTTCGCGGCTTCCCAAAGCGTGTGCTGTGAGCAGAACAGCCGCGCTGTTTGTGCCCGAGGCAGCTTGCTGAAGGCGAAAGCGATCTGTTACGGTGCAGGCTGGCGAAGGGCTGACGGTGGGCAAGAGCCGAGCTGCTGCTGTGGCTGGGCAGTTCAGGGGCTGAAGGTGGGGACATGCTTGGCTGATACGCCATAATTGAGTGTGGTCCTGCTTCATGGCAAGCCGGAATGTAACCTAGCCAGTTTAAATCAATGCTATAGATGGGTTTTGATGGACTTGGCTTAATTCTTGGAACACGGGGCTACAGAAACAGTAAATCTGTGCCTCAGCACAGGGGTACTGATGTCTTGAAATGTGCTGGCTCAGGTACCTGCAGCTGAGACCGTTCCTGTGCTCTGCCAAATACCTGCATCTGTTCTGAAAGCTGCGATTCTGGGGAAGGGCCCAGGCTCGTCCCCGACCTTCTCTCACGGCTTGGCTCTGTCCCCGCAGCGCTGCGTCTGGCTCCGTGCACCTCTCGGTGATCACCTGCTGCCGCTGCATGAGGAAGGTGGGACTGTGGGGCTTTCACCAGCTGGAGTCTGTGGGGCCGGAGCTGGACTCCTGCAGCATGATCAGCACACTGCCGGCACCTGCCGAGCGCATCCCGCTCGTGCCCACGTCTCCACGCAGGATGCTCACGCGGAGCCAAGACTCGCTCCCTCCAGGCTCCGAGCAGGTATGGCCCAGCTCAGCCGGTCCGTGAGCTTGGGGTGTCTGGGTGACACAGGAGCACATGGGAGTCAAGACTGACGTAGTTTGTGTGTCTGCTGGCTTTTACCTTGAAAGAAGCTCATTTTGGTGTCATGTCTCCAGCTGTAGGCAACATCTAACAGAAGTGGGTTGCTGCTCGCCTTGCCCTTTCACAGAATCACAGAATGTTCGGGGTTGGAAGGGACCTCTGGGGATCACCCAGTCCAACCCCCTGGCAAAGCAGTGTCACCCAGAGCAGGGGGCACAGCACCGCGTCCAGGCGGGTCTTGAATATCTCCAGAGAAGGAGACTCCACAGCCTCCCTGGGCAGCCTGTTCCAGGGCTCCGTCACCCTCAGAGGGAAGAAGTTCTTCCTCATGTTCAGCTGGAGCTTCCTCTGCTTCCGTTTGTGCCTGTTGCCCCTTGTCCTGTCACTGGGCACCACTGAAAAGAGTTTGGCCCCATCCTCCTGACACTCACCCTGCAGATATTTATAAACATTTATTAGGTCCCCTCTCAGCCTTCTCTTCTCCAGGCTGAACAAGCCCAGCTCCCTCAGCCTCTCCTCATAGGAGAGATGCTCCAGTCCCCTCATCATCTTTGTAGCCCTGAAGCCTTTGCAACTCTCTGTCCTCCCCTCCATCAGCCCTCCTGTAAGAGGGCACAAAAAGGGCCTTTCCAGCCAGCATCCTGACATTTGTCTAACTTGGGGTGCTCCGAATCGGGGGCCGCCCTCACCCGTGTCCAACTAGACTCACCTGAGATACTTCTGGTGTAAAGGGAAGGTGGCACAGCTTCTAGCAGGCTGGCTGAGAAGGTTTCGATCTCCGGTTTGAGCTGTGCAGGGCCCACCTGTCCCCTTCAGGCAAAGAATATGCTGGTGACCAGAGGAGCTCGATTAATTCCTTGTTCTTTCCCCACTGGCAGCACGAGAAGAGCACGTCCCCTGCCATCTCTCGCTCGCGGGGTTGGGACTCTCCCATCCCCATGGACCGGAGTGAGTTGGAGGTGGCCAGCCCCACTCTGAGGAGCCGCCCCGTCACCCGCAGCATGGGGCAGGGGGACAACGTGGAGATGCCATCCAGTCCTCTCCGCAGAGCCAAGCGGATACGGCTCTGCTCTTCCAGCAGCTCGGTGAGCGACCCGGGTGCAGGCGCAGGGAGAGGAATCTGGGCAGTGCACTCCTGATCCAGGGAGCAGTGTTGTCCCCATAGCCAGCTCAGGGCTGGTGTTTAGGCACGGAGAGGGTTTTATTGTGTCATTGGAGTCTGTTTTAAACCATGCTGTTGCTGTCCCTCTTCACTATTACCTCCTCCCCTACCCAGGACACTTTTATGAGGAGCTTCTTTGACCCCAGCTCTCAGCATCGTGACTGGTGCCCCTGGGTCAACCCAGTGGAAGGTGGGGAAGCCCTGGAGGATACCACGACCCAGACTGAGAAGGAACCTGCAAAGGCAGAGCCGGGCTGGCAAGTGGTACTGAACACGCTCCTCGCCACCAGAAAGTGCGACAGAGTGCCCGAGACGGAGCCCGTGGTGAGCCTGCAGCATCCCCAGCCCCAGACCCGAGCTCTCAAAACACTGCTTGCCCCAGCCTTGCCCGGGGCTGAAGGCTTGTGGGTGGAATTTGGGGTAGATGGGCTGCGTTCAGGCTGAACAGAAGCTCACCTGGGTGGCAAGGACCAAGCGTGTGCCTGCAGAGCTGCAGCTCCCGCTCCGGCTGTGCTGACAGCCTCTCGGCCAGGGGTCAGCCGTGACAACGATGCGTTGTGTGCAGATCTGCCCGCGGGGTGCCTTAAAA